CCACCTGCGAGGCCCCCAGGCCGCCAGGGTCCGCAGCTCCCGCCACATGGATGTAACCACTCGCCCTCAGCCCGCCCGACCTTCCTCCGCGACTTCAACTGCGGGCGGCAGGCCCCGCCCACTCTGCGCTGCGACTGGCCAAGCGCTGTCAACGGTGTTCAACTACCATTGGGCCACTCACAACAGGCCCCGCCCACAGGCTGAAGCCCTTTATTCCTGTGAGTGCAGCGCGATGATTGCTCCCACAGCAACACGGGACGGAATGGTCAGGGCCGTAGCGCAGCGGGGATCCGAGAGGAGGGGAAAGTGGGGTGGGGGGAAAAGGCAGACTTGGCACACAGGTAATCACAGCGAGGCTAGGTTTCGAGTCCCGTGTCTCCACCTGGCTAGTTCGTAGTCTTAGGCGAGGCAAAAACAGTTACTCTCCGAGGAAGGGGCCACACCTCAGCACTCTTGGAGCCTGAGGCAGAAGGATCACTGGTTCCAGCCCAGCCTGGGCAACTTAACGAGATCCTGCCTCAAAATTAAAACTAAAAAGGGCTGGGGATGAGTCCCGGGCAGCCCACGGCCTGGCCCAGGGAAAATCCTGCCCAAACTTCTAGGAGGCTCTCTGCTTGCCTCTCATCGTTCGACACGCTCCTCCTCCAGGACCCTTGCCTAGCCTCCGCCTCCAGCACGCCCCGCCGGAGCCCCCCGCATCCTCAGCCCTCTTCCGGCCCCCAGAGCCCGGGATCGCTTTCAGGTTAACTCGGGACAGCACCGAGCGGGAGAAAGTGGTCCCCTGCGCCCGAGGAGCTGCGGGGCCGGACTGGTGTTCTCATCCCGCCCTGCTGACTTTGTCCACAGCAGAATAGGAACCCACGACGACATCCTTTCATCCCGGCGATTCCGTCTGTGACAGGGGAACAGCCAGCGTATGTTCTGTGCTCCGCCCCGAGACTGGGCCTTCACCAAGCTCCCAGTCTAATGCAGTGGGGACTTAACGAGACCTTGTCTCAAAAGAAAGATGGCAAGAAAAAATAAACAAATAAAATAAAAGAAAAAATAAATACATAGATAAGGGTTGGGGATGTAGTTCGGTGTGAAGGCCCTGGGCTCGATCCCCAGTACCACAGAAACTAACAAAAAACAAAGCAAATGTGCCTTCTTCTATCTGAAGTGTGCGTTTAACTAAAGGACATGTTTTTATTTAAGCCCTGATGGGAATAAGGATGGAGGCCTGAGGTCCAATGACCCCACTGCTGCTGGGTTGGGTGAGTTATTTCCAGAATCTCCGCAGCCAGACCCGTCCCGCCCATGCAGTGCAGCAGCCAAACAATCACAGCCTGTTGTTTGCAGATGGGGAAACCGAGGCTCCGGGGCGGAGAACGGAGGTGGCAAAGGTTGGGTCCAGTTGAAGAATACACCTTGGTGCGGGCGGGGACGAGCACCAGAGATCAGAGTGGGCGGGCAACAATGAAGCACAGAGAACCACGCGGGCGGGCGGGAGAAGCAGAGTGTGCAGGCGGACGGGCGGCTGAGAACCAGAGTGACGGGCGGGAAGAGAGGGAGCCGACTCGACGCGGGCGGGGACGAGAAGCAGCGCCCGGC